ATTTCATAAATCGAAACTCTCGTTCAATCGTATACAATTATATTCCATTCGTTTCCACGGTTAAATCCACGGTTGACAAGATTAAACTCGCTTTCAGCGAGTTTCCACGTACTTGTTGCCAAGTTTGTGGCCTGTATGAACACCTGTAAACCGATAGTTGCGCCACCATTTTTCCATTGGCCACTTGCTCGAAACGTATAACGTTCGCGATTATTGTTGTTCGACCACGTTTCGTAATATGGGACTCACGTAACGGGAGATTCATTTTTGATTGATCAATTTTAAGTCATTAATCGACCACTAAGAACAAAGGCGATGAATATATAAATGCTGTGCAGAGCGAAATAATCGGTTTATTTTCATATATATCGATGGAAATTGTTTCGATGGGACGAATGATGTTTCTTCTGCTTTCTTTAATAATAGAACTAAGGCAAAGTAAGTAAAATTAATTTAGATTTAGCTTTAGATATTGTGAAAAACGAATGTTTTGATAAAAATTAGAGATTAGTTTCAACTTCTTCGTTTTTTTTTTTTTTTCTTGAATTATAAAATAGCTACGAGTGGCAAGAATTAGGTTAGATTTCTTTGTTTTGAAATTATGAAAAATGTACGAAAATGTTTTAACGAAATTAATATTAGTTCTTATTCCGATAAAAATATAATTATTTTCACATTTTAACTTTTGCCATTTATTATTAATTTAAAGTTATAATTATTATTCTAGTTATGTGTTATAGTTAATAGTTCTAATGTTAATCTTATCTTTTTTTTTGTATTTTTTATCTCTTTAATAGTTTTTTTTTTTTAAACATCGAAAGCTAGAAAGAATTCGATGTTAAAAATACGCGTCAAAGGATTTCTTAAACACACCATTCAAAATTTCTAAGTTCACGAACATAATAAAAAATCTATAAAAATGTACGAAAATCCTACATTTCTTTTTATATAATACCGACAATTCTAAAAATACGTTCGTTTTTTCACACAATATCTTTACTTATCTCAAAACAAACCACGCTTCCTGGTTTACTCCTACGAAAAATTCAGAAGAAGGAATTTTTATTTCAGACTAACTGTCCAGATCTTTTTATCACCTAGCTATAATGGACGAAAAAAAAAAAAAAAAGAAAATTAAAAAGGAATGAAAGACGTTAACAGAATATACAGAAATTATGTACATGATAAACAAAACTGAGAACAAACATCTGGCAAAGAGAAGGCTCGAAAAACAAATCGTGCATCCTTATCTATGCTTACGAAACGTCCAGAACAGTCCAGAGCTATAGGAAAGGGAATTTTTATTTTGCAAACTGGTTCAATAGAAGACATTATTACAATGTTTCAATCTTTCTTGATATGCAATTTTTTTTTATAACATTTAAATAATTTATCTATTGCTATTCTAGATAGCGTAAGCAAAATTTTAAAAATCAATTTTTATTAATTTTATATCTATAGTTAAAAAAAAAAAATTGAATGAAAAATTAATATTCTTTTAAAAGAATGAATCTTTTAGAATATAATAATGTAGTAATAAATATACAAATTCTCAAATGAATTATTGTTATCATTTTTAATTAATGATTTTTCATACTTATTTATTTTTAATAAATAATCTTATATACCAAAAATGAAAGCACATTTTAACTACATTAATGTATTTACACAATATGAAAAAAAATAAGAAAAAAAAAGTAAAAATGTAACGAATAAATATAGTTAATTATCTTTTATACATATATATAGTCATTTTTTTTTAATTATAAAAAATTTTCATACGTTATGAAAAAATTAATATGTATCACGTATATTCTTACAAGAAAGAAGAAATGATGTCGTGAACGTATCTGCACATGTCCATTTTGATGAAATTTAGAGAAAATTCTCAAAAATAATATTTGATTATTGCTTTACATACTCTTCCATAAATTTCATCAATATCAACGTGTATACGTTGCTTATATTTCCTTAACAATGAGCGTATTAATCAAAAATGATTTTTTTGAGAATCACTGCTTTATCATCCAATAAAACAATTATAATGAAAAAAAAAAAAAACAAAAGACACGGACGAGAAAAGGCAGAAGGCAGCAGGAACACGATAAACAAAACAATGGACAAACACAAAAGAGCAAAGAGGAGGCGGTGTAACAGCGAGTCGAGTAAGCGGAGAACAGACCACGTGGCTGATTGTCGCACGTAACGGCAGCACGGGCCGAATCTATTTGGTTGTGGAGATCGACCGGCCGATTACGTAACGATAGATTTATATAAATGGTTACGTTGACACTAGAGAGCCCCGGCCGTAGCTGCCTCAGCCATCGTTATATTATCTAACGTGGGCCGCACACCGTTCCTTTGCTCGAGGAAATTGCCACCGACGTTTATGGTTGCGCCTCTAATTGCCACTGGATCTTTTGAAAAGATATAACATATGATATATCGTAGATCGCTTATTCGCAATTTTTGAAGCTTTAAAAGAAAAAAAATATATATCGTAGATTTTTTTATTCGTAATTTTTTGCTATTGCTCGTGTTTATATAAAAATTCTAGAGGTTATATTATTAGTATATTATTTAAGTAACAATCTACTCGAGAAAATTGTAATTATCAGTGTAAAAGAATATAATATATAATATATAATGTTATATATTTTACTCGTAATTACGAGACAGTTTATATTTGTGTATTGAGAAGATAAAAGTATTTGTAAAATTCTAAAAGTGATAACAGTTAATTATCGTTATATTATCTAATATAATATTTCTCTGTTCGAGAAAATTACCACAAAAATTTACGATCATTTCCTCTAGTGGATCTTTTAGAATAATATAATGATATATTCTAGATTTTTTATTCGAATTTTTTTTTTTTTTCGTTGCAGAAATAATTTTTGGATCTTCTAAAAAAAAATATGATGATATAATGTAATTTTAGTAGTTTTTGTTCGTAATGTTTCGAACTGATCGAATCGAAAAAAAAATATAATATATCGATACATTTCTTTTATTCGTAACTATAAAATAATTTATTAGAATTTCGTGAGAAAGAAAATAACGTTTTTTAGAATTTTAAAAGCAGTTTTAGTACGTGTTTTATACACTTTGGTCGATTGTTTCGTGATCATGCAGATACAATTGTGTTTTCGCCGCCTTCTTGAATATTTATATATATAGAGGTTAACTCGCGTAGAGGTTAACTCGGATTTATTCTTAGAAATTTAGTTTAATATTAATTAATTTTATTTAAATGACTTTCGAATTATATAGATATACGAATATATTATATTTTTGTTTATTACACATAATAATATCACTATTAACTTGGCATATTTATCACGAAATATAGATTCATATATTCGCGAATATAAATATATATACATTCATCGCTTCAAAATATTCTACATATTTATCGAACAATTTAGAATTTCATAACAAGGAGGCAGATATTTTTATTTTTTATACACGTGTCACATTTAAGGATAAAAAAGATTCTACATCTAACGTAAACTAGATATAGATTTCGATAAAAATAATCGAATATGTACATTCACTAATCATTTCCAATATAACCTAACCTATAATATAATATACCAATAAGAGGAATAGCAAACACAATTTTTCAATCTGTATATAAATTATTACATAAAAATTTTAAAAAAATTCACCATATAATTATTGCAAATATCAATAAAAAAAAAATGCAAGCAATCTACCACAGATTTAACTTGTTTGATATTAATAATCAAATCTTATCAAATCTACTATATCAATATATTTTCAAGTCTCTGCCAAGATATATTTCTACCACTCGTTACATTCACATAATATTCAAGTACTTACATCATATATCAATGGAATACGTAATGCAAAGAACGTGAAAAATCGATTGTGAAGATTTGAGATCTTTCGACCGAAAAAGTTGGGAAAAGGCGACACTTTCGCCTTTCGGTGTTTGGACGCAGCCGCGCAGGGTCTATGTTTCTATCAATTACATAATAAAAACCGTTATGTAAGGACGAGCAGCTACGCATAAACGGTGTACTCGGGCAAAGCCAAATTAATCGGTTTGATCTTAGAGCGGCGGATATGTGGATGGCTCACGGAACACCATCGACATTGGCCGAGGTTTCGAGGCCCATTGAGCATCGAGGGAGGATGCAGAAGTGAAATTTATTGAGTGGATGTAATTGGTAGAATTGTTGTGTTAGAGTGTCACGTAAATTTTTTTTTTTTTTTCAATGGAGGAGGATGTTTCTAGTGATGTAAATATACAAAGTATAATAATATTTGTGATCTTTTTAAATAGATGAGTAGAATTATTGCGTTACATTTTTATTTTTTATGATTAATACAAGATAATTTTTCATGTTTGTGAAAAATAAAATTGAACTTGAAGTTTTGTAAATAGAATGCTTTCGAAGTTAGATAAAGTCAAGTGAAACAAAATGAAATGAATTAAATTATTTTTTTTTCTTTTCATACTTTTTGAGATCAAATACGAAGTAACAATGAAATTATGTAAAAATTAATTATTCCTATTGTCAAAAGATCCACTGTTAAAAGATTTCACAAAGATTATTACTGATAATCTGGATTTCCAAGGAATTACATAACTTAGGCCAACTTGCCTGCCTAACTAAACCACTTCTTATGAGCTTCCACTTTCGTTTCCAATAATTTTTCTATACAACTATTAATACGTACTGCTACTAAAAATTATTAATACATAATTATATAATATTAAAACTAATTCCATAATCACTAATACTAAATTATTACATTTCCAAAATCTATCTATTACAATTAAGAATCATGAATAGATACGATTCAAAATAATAAAAAAAATCTTAACTATTCCATTATCTTATTCTTAACTATTTATATTATAGCGAAGAGGCAAGGGCCAACGACCCATTAAAATATTTTTTAAAATCTGTTCTAAAAATTACTTATCCAAAAATTTCGAAATGAAAAAAAAAAAAAAGAAGAAGAAAATCCAATCACTCCATCGTTCAATATTCCCATCAAAGAGAGGTAAGAACGAGGCCAATGACTTATTGCACTTATACCATATTTTTATGAGCCGTGCGCGTGGACCGCTCATGAGAAGTGGAGAACTCTGGAAGTGAAGTGGCCGGCGTGAAGGAGGCCGAGAGAGTAGGTCAGAGACAGCGAGGAAACTCGATCGAACGAAAGCATCAGCGGTACTTGACCGTGAAAAATGGCAGTGTGTTGGTGCACACCGAAACGAGGAGGCCGGTCACCGGATATCGTCGCTTTCTTGCCGGCGGAGAAAGCTGCCTGCTTCTTCCACCGATTTCTAACTTGCCCGAGAATAATCGCCACCATTATTTTAAAGAATAGAAGTGTGTGTTGTCACGTCGAACTGCAAAAATTTTAAATTAAAATTTGTATGGTGTCGTTTGAGAAAAATTTGGAAATCGTATGAAATTTTAATACTGGATACCATTTAAAGTTAATCAAGTTTATGTTATGGATAAAAGTTGATATTATATTTTTCCTTTATATATAATCATCGTTAAATCTTAAATGTAATTTTACAGAATTGCATTTTGGTTTTATTTTTATGATATAACATTGTTGTGTATTCTTAGATAAAGGAAGTAAAATAGTTGTGGAAGAATGGATGATGACGTAGAATTTATCATTAAATGGTTAAAAGTAATAAGTGCTCTTGGAAATTGGTCTTTATCGAATTTTAAATAATAATTTTATAAAATTTGTTATTCTATTCAAAGAAAATAGAGTGGATATAATATATGAAATTTTCTATATAAGATTTTTAAAATATTGTTCGATGAATCGAAAATAAATTGAATATTCTTAGAAATTGGCACTTAAAAAATTTTTAAAAATCTTTTTACATAATTTACTTTGATTTTATCATTCTAAATGAACTATTTCATATGCAAATAAATTAGCAATAACGAAACAATTTTAGATGCTCACCTTGTGAAAATTATATTTCGAAACATGTATTGTCCAAAGAATACAATAATCTACGTTGTACGTAAATTATTACTAATTTTCTATGGCGCCAAGTGTATTATAAATGGTATATCACGGTTACAGTAGCTAGTATTGTTGGCCTCGTCGGTAAAAAGGAACGAACGTAAAGTAGAATTCAATTTGTAAAACGATCAGAAGACATCCAATCGTGACCGGTTACCATATCGCTTATTATACCTGTAAAATATCGTTACATAATGTTAAACCGTTTATAACCGACATGACACGTTGGTGAAACGTATCACTTCGCTGTAAACAATGATTTCCATGCTTTGTCTCGAGAAATCGCATGGTCATTCTAATTTGCAATATTCTCGTCACTTTCCTTTATTCTCAATTATGTTTCTTTTTCACTTTTTCCTAAATTTCGATATGATTTTTAATAAATTATACATTTATTAAAGTTAAAAAATAAGATACGATCTGTCACGATTAATTGGAATAAAAAGTTTTGCAAATTTGGTTTGATGATTTTAATGAAATTTGCTATGATGGTATAATTTGATGTGAAATGAAAAATCTAAAAGTATAATTTAATTTAAATAATTGCAAATTGATAATTATAATATACATATATATATATATATATATATATATATTCTGTTAAAAATGTATACATAATATTCATAATAGTCAATCTACTTTTCCTGATAATATTAAGTATTGTCAATTCTTTCGTTATTCTTGTGTAATAAAATTCAAAACAAATCTCCTAAAGAAAAATCATATTTGAAAAAGCAGACACAGATAAAATCGAGTTGCCTTGTTATCTTGGATGTTTTTCAGAATTTATAAATATCCAAAAAAAAAAAAAAAAAAAAAAGAAAGAAAGAAAGAATATTAATCATTTAAGATTCAATTGTGAAAAAGATAATTTAAAATTATAGTCAATGTTAAACGAATTATCTATAATTATGAAACATAACCTCAAATATCAAGAGATTAAATCTTATCGATCAACCATCGAGTAATGATTTTTAACATTGAAAAAAAAATGTAAAAGATATGATATATGAAAGATACTATTGAACAAAGGAAATTCTTCATGTTTATCATAAAATCTCGTCGCGTTCTTGCCAATATGCAACTGTTTTTGTTACGCAAGACTTTCGAATCGTTGCAATTATTTTGGCGCGCGAAAGCATCCGGAAAATGTTGCCATTTCTATGTATCAAAAGAATCCAATGACGCCGATAAATTTGCCAACCAAATTTCGAAGCATTTCACTTTTTCAAAATTTTCTTTTTTTTTCTTTTTTTTTTCATATTTTTTGACATAATTATTCAATATATGAAAGATAAGAAATGTAAATGAAATATATTATCACTTACCTAAGAATTCATTAATATACATGTATATACATTAATTCATTATTAATATACATATAATATTTCAAATTTGATTAGTCATAGGCTAAAAATTCAATTTTAATTAAGTTAAATTAGTTAGTAAGATAAGTTAAATTAATATAGATTAGAAAATATATTTTTTCGAGTTTAAAAATTCATTGATATAAAAGTTATAGTGCATATTTAAAATTTGATATTCTTAAGCATATTGTGATGATTTTGATTAGGTTAGATTAGATTAATATTTACAATGAATTTGAAAATGGTGAATATTTATATCATCATTTTTATTGTAAAAATGAGATCATTTTGATGACATTATTGATGAAAACAATACAAACTTTGTTTTAAACTTTTATATTACTCGATATTTTATCATATTACTCGATGAATAAAGATAATCTTGCATCGAGTATATTTATTTTATCATACTTATTAAGATATTTTATTTTATCATGCTACTTGATAAATAGAGAGATACTCAATATAAGAGACGAACTATTAGACTTAGGTTATGTTCATCTCTTCGAAAAAAAGTACACAAAAGAAAAAAAAAAATTTAAAAACATGATTCCTGAAAAACAAATCGAAATATTTAAATCCAATTGGCTTAGACGCTAACAGTGGAAGAGAATGGCTAGCATGTCGTATGCAAAACGACACGTGTTGTACGCGCGTTGTATGCGCGCCTCACGATTTCCAAGGATGATGCAAACCGGCGCAACACGGGAAGAAATACGCGAGAATACTTTGGCAAGTGGCGTGTCAAGGGACGATGTCGTCCCGGCGCACGTTCTGCTAGCCAACACGTGGAGCATTATTGATCGTTGCCAGAATAGAAGGAGGGAATATAAGTATGGAGAGTGCACGTTGTTGATACGTTGAGGTGTATGTTTTTCACACCTAGCCAACTCGCCACATCTGCTTCTACGTCGAACTTGAATTATAATATTTCGAGAAAATCTTGGAACGATGTGATACATCGATCTTCCTATATCATGTAAACATGTATTTTTACTTGGAAGATTACGTTAGAAATGGAATTTAGATATTGTTTGTTACATATATACACGTAGTCATATAGATTACACAGAAATAGACAGTTTGGCGTTGCCTTAAGGAATCTTAATATTCTCGAATATGTAATTATTGATTAAAAAAAGAACGTAGAAAGAAAATATCAAAAGTTTAAAGCAAAATTTATAGATTAAGGGATTTGTTATTTAATTACTAAAGATAAAAGCAAATATGTTCGAAAACCATATTCACAATAAAATATATCATAACATTGCATTCATAAAGAAAATATTCTTCTTTCAGGTGAGATCATATAATATACGATGACTCGAAATTCATAGTTTAATAAACTATCATTTTTAAAAAACATTGGACAAATCACTCACTTGGAAAGTATCATAGCACACAGAAAAAGGCATTCAAATCAAAATTTCATCTTTCTATCCTCTTTATCTTTAATCGCATGGTACACGATGACTCAATGTTTATAGATCAAGGAATATTATCTATCGAATTATTAAACGTAAAAGTAAAAATCCAAAAATCACACTTATTTTTAACAAAGCACGTCACATGTACGTTCGAAAGAAAGCATCTTTCCATTGTCTTCGCTTCGATTCCCCATTCTCCGTGCCCTCGATCGTGGCGCTCGAGTCGCAGGTAGTCGTCCAGCGGTTTGAACGGTGGTCAGGATCGGGGTGGGAGGAAGCTTCTCTCTCTCTCTGTAGTGCAGCTGCATCGGACGACGCATCGCTGTTGGATCGAATGGACGTCACCCGTTCCGGCGCAAACAGCCAAGCGTTACGTAAAGGTCGGTCACCCGGCCGCGTACTTCATCGTCGTGCTTGTCGTTGCTGCTGTTCCTCTGTTGCTTGTTCCTTCAAGTGCTGCGCCCTGTTAACTTAATCCTTTGTCTTCTCTTTTTCTTACATGATCGTATACAGTTTTTGGTTATAGCTTTGTTTTTGATATTTGTGTCATATGATGATAAATGTTCAAAATGTTTTAGTTTTAATGTGAAGAGGAATAATGTAACAGCTGTAAATAAATTATTTCTTTGTCTTTGTATGATTTCTCTTGGTGAATAAATGTTTTTTTTTTAGAATATTTTAATTTTAATGCGAAGAGAAATAACGTAGTAGTTGTTATAGGTTATCTTTTTGTTTTTATGATTTGTTATGTTATATGATGATGGATGTTTAGAATCTTTTAATTTTAATATGAAGAGATTAGTATAATAATTAAATATAATATAATAATGTAAGAAATCCTTTTTTTTCTTTTCTTATTCTTTTTTTTTTTTGTTTTCTTTTAATTGTTTCGAGATTATTATCATTTTCTTTTCTATTTTGTATGACAATGATTTATAATATTCAGTTTTACATAATATGACGAGGAATTTTTTTTTGTAAAAGAAAGGACATTCTTTGTAATTTTGTTATGGATTCATAAAATAAATATAAATAAAATATAAATAAGTAAATAATTATTTACAAGTTGATTCAAAATATCAGTGAACTTCGTACTTATGATAAATGAAGGCGCATTTAACCTCAATGCAATAAACTACACTTTGAGATATTGTTACTAAAAATTAAAAAATATTTTAAAAGAGATAGCAGAAATTTGATCGATTTTCGATTCATATTTCTATTATCATTTTGATTTTTCTTGTATATCACAAATACATAACAATTATATATAAATTTTACTATCAATAACTTTTAAAATTAGTTCAAAGCTATATAAACATTGAAGTTGAGAAATTTAATGAATTGCAAGAACAGAAAATCAGAAAATCTTTTTAAATCTAATTATTTAATTAATTAACCTAACCTAAAAATTATTTAATTTTCAAAATTTCTGAAAATTTTATCACGTCATAATATTCTTTATTTCTATATCGTTCATTATTATTCAGAGATAAATATATATTTATCGCCACGAAAAAGAAAAATAATTAGAACGTATAATAAATTTGTTACGTGAAATCAATGTCTCGCATGTGAAAATTGGAACAACCGTATTTGCAGATAATATTTTACTTATCTTGACTAATGTAGTTCGTTGTATCGATTGGGAGAAATAACGCATTGCTTGTTCAGTCAACTTGGTAATAAAATTGACAGAGATCTCGTATCCGTATTCTCTTTAACAAACTGCTGCGACTTCGAGGGGATATAATATATTTCATCTCTTCGAAACGGACAATTTTCCTCGTCGCACATACATATTATTATAAAAATTAAAAATATTTTCGCTTCGTGTAATGAAGAAAAATACTTCATGAATTAGGCACGAAGATTAGATTGTAAGATGATAATAAAATTTTTTTTCGTCGATACATTTCACGATTTATTGGTTTGAAGGATAAATAAATTTCGCGTTATTCTCATTAAATTCTGATATATAATTAATTATTATCAATGTGCAGTTTCTAAAAATACTTTATCGAAATGCTAATAACTTTCCAATTATTATCCGAAATTAATTATTATTTTAAGAATAGATTTTTCTTTTCTAAATTTTTTTCAAATTTCTTTTTTCTAAAATTTATTTTACATGCTATTCTTTAATTCGATCATGATCAAATAGCGACAATTGTTTTCATATTAATTGTTTAGGGAAACAGGTTGAATTCTGCATATTTGAAATATATGTTTCTGAACAAATAAATGAAAATATAATTAATCATCTTTTTTTTTTAATATACATAATCATCGAACGAGTAAATAAATTAATAACCAATTATTTGTCAATTTATATTGGTTAATTTTAATTTTTATTGAATGTAACAATAATTATCGAAATGATTAAAAGAAAAAAAATATTTATTATTGAATATCACGTCAAAATTGAAAATATTATCGATCAATATCGTCGATCATGTTTATTAATCCGATTCGTTGAAAAAAAAGAGAAACAATTTTAAACAAATTCTAAGATTCCAACCCTTTCTCTCACAGCGTTATTAGACACATGTTATTCCGAGAAGAAATAAATCAGTAAAGCAGAGTTGTTAAAGACATGCAGTTGTTAAACTCGTTAACGCAACCTCTTTTAAACCATAATCAAGTTGATTAAGTGGGATAAGTGTATAATCGATTATACTCGGTCTTGGCGCTCGACTCTGTAGACAGGAAATTGTGACGTAATATAATAGGATCGAATTAATGAATAAATTTATTAATTGCCAATTGTCCAGATGAATCTCATAATTCGGTGAAATTTTATTTGAAAATGAATAAGTAAAGAAAAAGAATGGAGAGAGAATATTATTAAATACTTTTGTTTCTCTTTATCATTAAATTGTTAAATATGAAATAATTTTTTTTCTCCTCCTCTTTTTATTCAATGGAATAAAAATTAATAAGTGAAGAAACTGTAAAGAAAATATTATCCAACGAAAGACTCTCTCTCTCTCTC